ACAATTTTAAGCCTTCGGCACGGTGTCGCCCTGCTGCCAATAAAGCGCGACACGAGTTATTTCGTCTTAGGAGGGGGCTGAGTAACACTAAAGCAGAAGTATTCTTGCCGTTATATAAAGCAGTGGTTAGGCCACATCTGGAGTATTGTGTTCAGGCCTGGTTATCGTACCTCCGGAGTGACATCGTTTGTATAGAAAAGGTTCAGAAACTTGCAACCAGGATGATCGAAGGTCAACGAGAGAAGTCGTACGAAGATCGTCTAAGTAGCTTAGGATTATTTTCCATGGAACGGCGTAGGTTGAGAGGGGATTTGATAGAGACGTTTAAGATCATTAAGGGACTTAGTGGTATTAGTTCCACCCATCTGTTTGAGTTGGCTATGTCAGACCGTCTGCGCAGGCATCGCCTGAAGCTCAAAGACCATAGAGCCCGTTTGGACATCAGGGCAAAGCTTTTACTAACCGAGTAGTTAACTTCTGGAATAAACTTCCTTATGATTTAGTGGAGTCTGAGACCGTAGAAGCCTTCAAAAGAGGTTTAGACGATTGTTGGTCCATCCTTTTTCCAGAGATATTGTAGTTGTACTGGAATATGTAGTGTGTTTTGATGCTGGCATATGAAAGTGTAAAGATTGCTCTTGTTCTTGCCTCATTCCTTTACAGAAGCAAGCAGAGACAATCCAACGTCGAGTTGCCGGGGGCCGCTTTACTTACCGGCACAAGAACTGGACGCTCGTTAGACGGAAGCCTCTATCGTCCGTTTGACCTGACCTGACCTGACCTGATCTAACCTGGCCCTAGTTAGCTCACCAACTTTTATCATTCCGTGCGTCTACAGTGGTCGGATGATGCATTTGGCATTCCACCGAGCAACTAACACTTGCTTTGTCACATGTGTTGTTAATAGATTTTATTGATCAAGACTTTTGAGTTTCCGTTTGTCGTGAATCCACTATTCCCACCACTTTGGCTTCATCAGGCATTTGCTTTGTGCCTTTCCATTTTATAATCGTAAATGCCTGAGGAGATTTGTCGAAAAGAGTACTCATCGCAACATTGTGGTCTTGCATTTCCACGAGTATAAACAAATTGTAGAAGAGCAGGGAACCCAAGGCTTTTAGTGACTTCAACAAATGTCTGAAGTTTAACGCAAGGCTTGCTGATACGATGACGGATATTAGAAAAGGATTTATTTAACCGTACCTTTTGGTACATCAGCCAACAATGTTGACATTTGTGCAAGAAATCTGCGATGTATACAGCCTTAAACTTATTGCATGCAAACAAATTGAAATTTTTACGGTTCAGCTCATTTAAACAAAACAAGAGGACGCAGGATGGTTTGGATTATCATTTTCCACACACAACGTCGGTATAACTACACAAAGCTCGTTCCAGTGTATGTATACCGTGTTTGTATGTATATATATATATAACGAAATACCTTAAGTTGGTTTGGTACAGCACCACAATGTATGATTAAGCATAAAAGAGAGGAAGATAATGGCTGTAAGACCGTATTCAGAAAAGCAGTGTCTCATAACATATATGCCATTGAGAGGGAATTTGTGTCAAGTTCGACGTATTAAGCATGCCTTCTTTGTAATTGTATAAGCGAATCGTTCTTGCCTGTTCAGCTTACAGGCTGTTGTGCGTTACCTTGCCTGGTTGTATGTTTGGAGAAGTGGTATTGAACCCAAGGTGAAGGATATCCTAGATTAATACTTCAACATCTTGCCAACGACATGTAGGGCATAGTTGACGCTGAATGCATTTCTAAAGAAGTTAGTTCCTTCCAAATTTTGAAATTCGCGAATAAAGGCGAAAGCTGTTATATGCATGCATTTTGTATTGTCTCATCATTACCATTGATAATAAACGATAGGCACAGATATAGCGAACAGTAGGTCCGACTAGACAAGCTTGAGGTGCAGAACGAATGATGGAAGTTCACCCATACTTCTAGGGCAACCCAAAACTGATAGGTAATTGTTTCTGAACGCATCATCCAGCTTACAGAGACAGACTCAGTGGACTGAATAAAGCAAAGATTAGTGCAAAGTGACACAACATTGGACGCTGAATCCAGCTCTATCCGGTGACCCGAGACCTATCGAGGAAGACAGCGGTTTAAGTGAACACGGAGTATGATAAAGTTACGGAAATCTGGGCGATTTCATGCTGAGCCCATCGCGCAATGTTGCTTTTTTCGGGAGTCATAGTCCGCCTATGTAACCGGCTCCTCAGTTATACACTACTTGTTATGCACAATATGTGCTAAACCCGATAGACTTCATTCGTTGAAGATACTGGCAAATTTCGGGTTCGATTGATGAAGACAACTTGGGCAGCATAGTAGCTTCCTTGCGTAGCTGTGTCTGCATGCTTGGTTTTCTTCGGAGTAGCTAAATCACTCTTGAAAAGTAACTCAATATAAACTTTCTTCTGTTACCGTGTTTACCATGTCCTTCGTTCATCGCAGTCGGCTGTGTTACGCGACAAATCTTCGAAGTCAGCCACTCGCTATACGTGTCGCTGTCATTAATTCTAGCTCATCGGCCAAACAGTCGATAGAACCAAATCGTCTGGCCTGACTAACTGGGGTCTTCACAAGTGTCTGCTTGTACAGCACGGATGTGAAGCTGGTGAAGGGAAAGTACGGGGAAGCCCATGCTGATTTTCAGTAAATGGACCTATTAATTAATCCATTATCTCTGGAATGACATATGGATCTTCTGACACAGCGGAAAATTATTCCGTTTTAATTCCTGTATGACCGGTAGGTTAGCATGTGCATGTTGAGGCGTTCCACGAACTAAATACATTACAGACGGGTTAACCAGGTCAAAACGGTTGATCACACAAGCAAGTAAAGCATCGCACCGAGTCAAGTGATAATTTGCTACTCTATTTCTTCATAATCGATACCAGATCCGCGGTTTTACATACTTTTATTTGCCTGCATGATTGCCAATTTTGCTTGATATTACTCATGGGCAGTCCACTTGGCTTCAGTTGCACTTCGGCATATTTGTTGTGTATCAGTCCAACCAGCAACTCGGCAATTCCACCGTCTTATACATCCTGGTGCAGAGCAGGGGAAGTAGCACTTAACTTTTTCGTGGCGACAATAGGTCTAGAACGTGTTTAGACAGCTTAGAAGCTGCTATCTCTATACAGACAGCACATGATATGTCGCGCACATTCAAAGAATGCTTTTGAACAGATTCATGGCGGGAAGTTACCCATTACTAGTCCTTGCTATGGATTCCGTAACTGTTAGTTTGGCAAGCTAAGTTATTTAATCATGAACATAAATACATCAGTAGAATAAACGTGGGGTTCGGCCGAAGTTTTAGAAGAAACCGATGCTTGCATGCCCCGCAGTTTATTTGCTGCTATAACCAGAATAAGCTTTGTGGAAAGAAAATCAAAGATACGGATGTAACTATTTATAGACATGGGAAGCATGATTAGAGTGGGTGCAAGAGAGTATGGATACTCTCTTAAATAAGTCAGTTAGTTTACATTTCTCGGACCAAACATGTACTGCAATCAACCTTATTATACCTATAAGCAAACATTTGACATATTTTACCAATAATAATTACCACTGATTCTATGGACCCTTCCAACAACAAACTGGTTATACCATGTGCTAAGCATGTGATCCTACCTTCTTAAGACTAAATGAATTTAGTCATTATCCAAGTGGTTTCTCCTTCACCAAATGTTAAATATCTTACAAGGAAAGTACTGTATGTAACATGACCGTACTAGATGTGCAGGAATGCTGATGGGCCTTTTATCGCCAGTAAATGAAACTGCATGTTAGGCTTGTCTATTGTCAATAAATGCAACTGAACGTGACATAGTTTGCAATCTGATTCCAGACGTTCCACATCCTCCTTTTGTCATGAAGCATCACGGCCACAGCTCTAATGATCCGCCGACCACTTGTGTTTAATGGTGCATTTCAAACTTCAGCCACAACTCAGGTATAAAATACACGGAGTGGTAATTGGTCAGCCAGTGGATGAGCGGTGCTGATCAATTGCATTACCGACACATATAATGGGGCGGCAATTTCATGTGAGAACAGCATGACTGCATACATGTTAGTTGTCACTGCTCCGGCGACACTTGAAATCTATCTGCCTCATACAGAACCCGGTTGATCAAACTCAAAGGGTTTGCTAAAACACAGATGGAGATTGGAAATAAAATAACCTGTGAGAATTCGCAGACACAAATGAGTTTTCAGGAACTCAAAAACTGAAATATGACTATGGTCCGCAGACATCCCAAGTATGTGGTTAGTATGGAATTTTACCTGCTGGAAGCCACGAAAGACATCATGCAGAATACCTTGCACATAGGTGATGGAACAGCATTACAAACTGCAGTTCATACTGCGTCTAACGGCTGACCAGCTTAAATCGTTTTTACAGGACCTCACAACAAACTTTAAGGTATTAACCACCATGTTTGACTCCAAAATCCTTACTAAGCCAGGGTATGAATGTTTTGTTATTGTCGTCCGTTTCTTGAGTATAACTGTAAGAAACTGCTTATATTATCTAACGTCGGCGATGCACGTGATCTATCTTGTCAGTCTTCATTCACAAGAGAGCAACCCACAAAATAAGCCGTCATGGGTGATAATTTTACATTCAACGTGCATCAACACAGAGTTTAACTGCCTCAATTTGCTCCAAAAATTGAATCACACAGCTGTCGTCCAGCAAGCATACTAACACCATATCTGGTTGTCACGCAAAAAAGCCATCCCATGGGTTCCTTATTCTTGATGCTGACGTTTTACACTAACTCACTAAAGGAATCTCCTAACACAAATGAAACTTTTTCCACATTTCAGATAATACTGGATGACTCAATTACTTCGATAACAATCATTTATCAGATAATGTCAGATTTGAGGTCAAAAGAACAAATATGTGGAGCAAAGCTGTTCTAATACCTGTGGCAACACACATTACCTCTTTTGTAATGCGTCGCTTTTGACCAAGAACCGACCTTCTTTCTGCTTCTCGGCGGACACAAATAAGCTTGATTTCATTCAGCGTTTCCAGAGTAATTTTGTTTAAAATGGCTACCTTTTGTTTGGTTCTTTTATGCAAACGTTCAATTGTCTGAAAAGATCACAAGATGGAGCACTTGTTGTTGACTGGTAGGACGGGCGGTTAGCTATGGATTGCGTGATAACCTGTCCAGGTTTTTGACCAATGTCAAACAGCGCACAGCGCCAGCTTCGGTGGTTTCAGGAAAAATAGTCGAGACTATCACTTAGCAGAAAACCCAGATGGAAAGAATGATCTACTTGCCACAATGAACAGCAAATGGACTCAAAGGCAACACATCATGTGGATTTGAATCAGTACCCTCGAAATTGGTTACACTTACAGCATCCAATGCGGTTATTTGTTTTTGTAGTTCCATGGCCTCCCGTTGTCGCTTCTACAAGTATTAACGTAAAATTAGTGCAATCGTTTGATCACCGGATGAATAACGTTGCATCCAACAATGATTGCGCTTGATCGCACATAAATAGGGCAGATTGGTAGCGACATTCGAATTTCCTGATCTGCTATGTCTATGCGTTACTGCAATGACGAACAACTCCGTTGAAGCATTCGTGCTTTAATTTACATTACATTTTACCGACTGCAAAAGCATTGCGAGTTGATTTTAATAACTTTTTACACTATGCTAACAACTACCTTTTCGTTTCAATAAATTTTGCAAAAGGATTAGGGATAAAACAACGGATGCCAATGAACTCAATACCATTGGGTGGAGCGTGCCATGGATATATTTAACAACCATGGTAACTACAGTATAAATGCAGTTAGGAATTAAGGTCTAACAAGTCCTCAGACTCTGACAAATGACACTTAAAGTGCGCATTGCCTAAATGGCACATATTCTGCTTACAAGTGCGTACTCGAGCCTATAGCTTCGCTGCAATTTTTATTTTGCACATCTGTCCATAAATGCCTGGCTGTAATAAATGACGGCTCGAAAATTTAGCTGCCTCCAGTAAACAACAGCTGCGGTACACAGGTGTAGCTCACAGCGCTGGCGAAATTATACTTCAGTTGATTACACGATTACTCGTTTTGCCTCACTGTGAAAGCAGTGTCCGAGGATACCGGAACTAATGGTCCAGTCACAACAGATGGACGTGAAGTTCATCCGCAGCTGGCAGACACTACGCAGTACATTTCCTTTGGAACTACGACTGAAAACAACAGTTAGAGAATCGCAGTCACTCGCTGTCCCTTCGAAAAAGACACCACCTGAGACACAAAATAACCACAATAGCAGTTAAGAACACTGTGCACACTGATCTGTGGCTACCGAGAAGCTAAAGATGGACTACAGACAGGAGGTGCGAGAACAAAAACAGATTGCATTCTTATCGAGACTTGGCACTTCACCCAAAAATCGATTAGGTGCCAGCCTGTCATCGGTCGGCACAAATCCACATCCTTCATGTGCTCCTACGCAACAGCTTTTGACAACCGAAAAGCTTTCCTGTATGTCCAATAATGCACAAGGCTTACTTAGTAAACTTTCAGAATTGCGACGTCGTCAAGAATCAAATGCCTGTGACCTCATCAGTGTAACAGAGACATGGGTACTCCTTGACATAAGTGAGATCGAGATCGCCCTGCTACACATATCGGTTATTCAGCCCGATCGACACAGCAAAGGTGGAGAGGTGGCTCTGTACTTCCGCAGTGACTTCCAACGTAAGCCCATAGAGAATCCGGTTAACGCAGTGCAGAATTCCGTTTGATATCGTCTATGTTTAAAATGTTTCGACGCCTGCTTGATGGCGATCATTTACGGCTCTCCTTATCCAAGCCCGAGGTTCACATCAATCTATCATCATCAATCTATTATTCTTATTACTGGCGATTTCCACACCCACGCTGTGAGATCCCAAGCCGCTCCTGAAGAGTAGTTTAATTTGGAGCCAAAAAAGCTTATCTCCATTTTCCTGTTTTATAGCCACGTCAACACTACTATCAGATTCAGAGAAACAGTTAAACAGTCTATACTGGATCAGATAACCCTTGATGAAAAACTGATAATCGAGAGGGTAATCGTCGATGACTTCTTAGACCGCAGCGATCAGATAGTCCTTGTCTTTGAATACATCTATTATGCAGAATATCCCATGGAAATTTCCGACGCAACGGGAATGATTATGCCCTACGACGTATTAGCTCGACAAGGTGAGACAACTAACTGAACTTTTTTGGCAGACGTGGCACTGGTTAGCGGATGGGAACACTTCCTCTGCCAGTTTAACACTCTGGTTGCTGAAGCATCAGTGCCTAAGACTGTCCACTCGAGGAATGTAGTCTCGTTTGTGCGAAGGTGGGTACCCAAGTGTATAGTGGTATGAAACGAAGCCCGGTATATTTATGAACTCACCGAGCACCGTAAGCTAGATGAATTATGTGACTCGCAGTAACCACTGTGCGCAGCTTGCATGTAAGGAGCGAATGGCCTACCAGCAGAAGTCAGCACTGCGTTTGGCCTTAAATCACTAGCTTCTTGTTGCGGGCCCGTCAAAAATCCCCGCAAAAAACGCGCCAGTAACTCCGGCATAATGGTTGTGGGAAGCGGAGTCCAATTTCTCCCCACAACGCAGCAGTGTTCAGCCACACCGAGGAGCGTCCCAACTGCGAACCTTTTGACAATGGTCATTTGCAAACTACCACCTCTGCGTGGTGACTGTTTTCCCTAACTTAATAACCCATAGCACTGACTGTGATCGCCCTTTGTCGGTCGTAAAAGAGCCTACAGAGGACCACTTGTCTTTTCTTTCTCTTCGCCTCAGTTGGGAGTCGGTCGGGTCGCGTGATTGCGTGTGCATCGTTAGCTGGCCAGTCTTCGCGACTAAGTCATTAGCGCGCGTCTATCGCAAACCCCCTCTCGTCTGCGTCCATCCGAGGCTCGGCGTCTATCCGAACACGTGCGGCTAGGATCGTTCGCAAGCTCGCTCAATTATCCGCCTCACCGGCTAAGCCAGCGTCATCAGGACAGCGCAGTTCCGTTCGAGTGGTCAGCGTAGCAAGCAATTATCGTAGGCGTGCCAGCGACCCTCTTATCAGGCAATTACGCAATTATCTCAAGAGGCGGCGTTCCCTCAATCATAACACTTCTGTATAAACACTGCAACAGTTTACGTAAGATGAAACGAGGATTTCCTCCTTTTCAACCAGCGGACGGACTGATACGGACTCCGAAGAATACGAGGAATACTTTGCGCCTGTGATGGGTTGAAAAATTGCAGTGCAACAACTGGCCACTCATATGACAATGGTTATCTCATTCCCAAAACTTGCTCACCTATCTTTAAAAGCAGAAACTGTGCTTTAGCTTCCTTTTAGTATGTGCAGACACAGCTCTCCTGAAATCGACAACATTAATCCGAAGTCGTTAGCGGCGATAGAAAGAGATTAGTAGACCCTTTGGTTCCATTATTCCAACACTTTTTTAATGAAATGCACGTGCCCGACATGTGGAAACACGAGATGGTTATTGCTATTCACAACGGAGATAGTCTATCTGATCCAGCCAACTATAGTCCATTAATCTTAGTACCGGTACTTGCAAAGGTCCTGGAAGTTATTATTTCTGATCCACTAACGGTCTACTTGAAAGAATTTAAGCACCGTGCACCGGAACTGCGTGGCTGCTGACGAAATCGATCGTGCACGGCAAATCTACTTCTGCCACCATCCAGATTGACCGAAGCAGTAGACAATGGCGTAGGAGTTGATTTAGTCTTTATCGAATCCTCAAGCCTTTCGACCGATTAGACCATGACATTCTGCTCTCCGAACAACAAAGCTTTTATGTTAGTGTTTCGCTCCTAGGCATGATCAGAAACTTTCACCTACACGGGTGCTTGTAGGTACGAATACGTGGATGGCTGTCAGATCCTATCCAATTTTAAGTGTGAAGTATTGCAGGGATCGGTATTTGGACCACAATTCTTTTTGAGGCATATTAACGAGATCAAACTACTCATAAGTTCAAACTGCCTGTTTTATGCTAATGACATCAATGTGTGGCGGACGATCAATACAACAGATGAGATCACAGTACTTCAAGCCGATCTGGATAGGGCATTCGAGTGGTTAATCCAGAATCTACTTCGATTCAGTAGGAACAAATGTAGAGTGCTGCACCTACGACACAAGTTGGGGTACCCCTACATACTTGGCAACCAGGAACTTCAATCGACTTCTGGCGAGAATGATCTGGGTGTATTGGTCCACCTTGACCTTGGATGCTCGAATCAGGCTGAACAGGCGGCAAGAAGGAGCATCCCAAATGTGGGCTTCTTGAGGTGTGCATTCGGACAAAGCGACCGGATGAATTTCAACGGTTTCTCGACTCATATGTTTGCTCACATGTGGAGTAAGCAATAAGGATCTGGCAGCCATGGCTTGTACGTTATCTCACCGTGTTGGAGTTACTCCAACACCGGGCAGCCAAGAATGTAAAATGGTTTTATAATTTGCCATATGAATAAAGGCTAACATGGTTAGGAGTCTTCGGCGAACAATATCGAAGGTTGCGTGGAAACTCAATTTTGAGAAACACCAACCACACCTACCGCCATTTGCAAGAGCTCAGTCACAACAATGGCTTGAGAGGCCAGCATCTCGAGCTGGCAGAGCAATGCAGTCGCTCGGAATGAGGTCGGAGTTTCTTTCGTGTGCGTTTTTGCAAAGCGTGGATTGTTGTATCGTAAGCTGTCAGCTGTGTTTCGACGCTGGTAGAGTCCAAAGCTACAGTTGACCGTGGACTCATTTCGCTGCAGCATCTCATATAACTGACTGCGCATGCCTAAACACGATTGTCCGTTAGAGATTTCACTTCCGGTCAAGTCACAGAATGCGTTCCAAGTTTTTCACTCCTGTATGTGTTCACCAGGGAACGGCACAATGTTCACGAACATCCTATTTGTCATCATTCCTTATGAGCTTATACTGGATTCACATTTTGTACAACGAATCCCGCAGTGAGTCCACCGGTGTATACCTATTTTTGCTGAAATTTATCTTTTTTGAATTATCACCACGACCATCTTACGGGACCTGTAAAGCTTTAGCCTTTTACCCGTATGAATCAACTGTTCTATTGTTCCATTTTTCAGGTACGTTAAATCAATGATTCGGCAATCCGGCGATTTCCTCGGTTTGTGGAATTTCGTTGTGTAACATCTCTACTGAAAGTATTATCTAATTCCACACTTAGGCGCTCGGTGAGGAAGTAGCGAACTGCAGTTTCATGTTGTCGATTTGCCAGGAGCACTCACAACTGTTAGGCGTCTCATTCGGATTTTCTCGAATAACTGCGACGTGCGATTCACGGTTGCATCGCCGGGATAGCAATCTTTAACAACGCTGCCATCCGTATAGTTTATA